ATAACTGAAACTACATATTTTTAATTTTATCACAAATTAGAAAGAAAAATTCTGTTTTGGCTTGCTTTTTTTCCTTTGGAAAATATAAAGCTTCATGCCATCATAAAATATATGTCACTTTGATATTTGTCAAATAAGCAAATGTCATTAGGGGCTGTCCTGCTGGAACTGACCAGATGCCAATAGCTTTGTCTTTCACTGAACTCTGAACTAATTAAGGGCTATGAACCAATGATGCCAATAGCTATGATGCCAAGGGCTATGAACCAGATGCCAATAGCTTTGTCTTTCACTGAACTCTGAACTAATGAAGGGCTATGGACCAATAATAACTCTAGGATATTAAATCCATTCCAAAGTGTAAGTAATAACATTATCTTGGCTTCACTTACATAGGGAGGGTTCAAACATACCCCTCTTGAATGAGAGAAATCTCTTACTTTTCTCACCTCTCCTAAAGGTACCAGGGGCACCCAGATAGAACTGTTTCTCGTGAAAATATAGCAATAGCTATTACGTTTCCCGAGTGGCAGGTACCGGGCTAAGTACTTTTACATACGTCATGTCATTTCATCTTTAACACAGCCCTGTGAGGTAGCTGCTATTAGCCCTATTCGATCGGTGAGTGACTTTCACAAGATCTCTCAGCAAGGGAAAATCTAACCTCAGTGCATGGGCTTCAGTCACAAGACTACCTCTGGCTTGAAGAAGAGGTCAGGGTCAGGGAGTGAGAGTAGGAATTGGAAAGGCAGTGTTATGCTTTGGTATCTTGAGACAATTATGTGGAATGGAAGGAGTGAGATGCTGCATTGTTTTTTATTTGTTTTTCTTCTTTCTCTCTGAAATGGCGCCAACTCAACAGCAAAGAATGACTGCCTTAATTACCCCCCTCCTTTTAATAGTTTATTGGCATGTATTTCACATATCATACACTGTAACCATTCAGTATTAAAATTGGCACATTTACCACCACCGTCAGTTTCAAAACATTTTCTTGTGTTCATTGTTAGCTCCCCACTTCCCTCATTCTCCCCTGCCATGAACCTAGACAGGTATCAATACAGTAACTTTCCCTATAGTTACTGTATAACCCATCCTGGATTTCTTATACAGACAATCATAAAAACACAAACAAGAAGAAAAAAAACACAGCACTCAACAACAGTGACTAAAACATAGAAAAGCCTCAAAAAAGGAAGCAGAAAATATTAAAAACTGAAACAGTTATAAAATGGGTCAAAAGAGAGATCAAATGATATTACATCTTAACTGCACTACATCTGCCATAATGGGTTTTGCAGTGCTCTCTGTCTGACAGCAAAGCTAGTCATGTTCCTCAGCTATGAACAGAGGAGAGTCCCGTGCGGAGGCTGAATCCACGTTGAGACCCTGCAAATGGATTTTGGGCTTCCACTGTCATCAACAGACTTCTACAAACCGGTGTTCAGACTTTAAAGTCTGATACCATCCCCTCCTTCAGATTTGGGTTTTATTATTTACCACCCTCGGGTTACACAGGCTGGTGTGCTTCTTCCATGTGGACTTAGTTGATACATAGCTTACATGGCTGCTTATTTTAAGACAAGCCTTCAAGACCCCAGAAGCTATTCCTTCCGATAGTTGGGCGCCATCTGGTTTCTTCACCACACTTTGCTCTAGAACCCATATCTTCAGTGATCTCTTCATGAGGGTGAGCATTGAACAGGGCCATATCATAAGAATTAATTGTTCTTGGATTGAGGCTAGAATTAAGTGTGGGCCCAAAATCCATTCATACACCTATGATACTTACATAGAGCCCAAGGGGAGAATACACCCAGTACTATGTTCCTAATTGTGGACACTTGACCTACTTTCTATCCAGCCCTTGGCGATCCAGGTTGTGTGCTCTGGACTAATGAGACATTAGACTCTGTCCTTTCAAGACACCGCTTCCTTCATAGGCCACAGTAGAAGGATTCAGTGTGGAAACCCCACTAAGTGAACTGGGCTTTTCCTCGGACTCACCTGAAATGCCCTCACGTGAGAAGAAACCTAGGACTGCTATTTCAAGGTTATGGAATTGGTGGTTGTTGGACTTTGGTTCGGATCTCTTGCTTTGAGTGTGCTCAATGAATGGTGGCCTGGGACTACCATAGGTTATTTTATTGCCCTCCTTGCTTTTATATGACATGTATTAATGTGGTAGGCATAGTTCTGCCTTTGTGAATGAGTGTTACTGAAAGTTTTGCACTATTACCAGCCCACATTGTTTGTGTAAAATAGTGTCCAGTCACTTAGGTTTGTGTAAATAGTGCACAACTCAACAATTCATGTATTGTGGTCTGGGCTGGACTATACGTGTATCATTTCCTTTTCTCGGTGTTTTAAGGTCTGTACCATTGGCTAAATTGGTGACACTGTCAAAAGAATTAACTTATACTCCTGAGGATGATCTATAATGTTCTCAATTATAAATACTGATGTCTCTAAAGTGAACCAGTTACTCTTTTGTTGAACCTTGGGTTTGAACTGAGCTCCAACAGAGCTGTCATTTGTCAATTACCAAGCAACTACTGAATGTAGATCTTAGTTGAAAATATGAACAGTATATCTATCATCCGTGTCCACAAGGAGTGTAAATAGTGAGGCTTAAAACATTATTGGTACGTAGGGTAAAGTATCCAGACCCAAACCAGATTCACTGCCATCGAGTTGATTCTGTCTCATAGCAATCCTGGAGGACAAAGTGGAAAACTGTGTGTTTCTTCATAGGACATTTTTACAGGAGTAGAAAGCCTCGTCTTTCTCCCTGGAGCACCTGGTGGTTTCAACTGCTGACCCTATGCATAACCCATGATGCCAACCAGGGCTCTATGAATGAAGTATCAGTAGGTATAAATTATGCTCTCCTTGGCCTTTGAGTGAAACTCGTAAATAATCTCTGTAAATAGAGATTCTATTTTCTTTTTATTTATTTATTTTAGAGATTCTGTTTTCCAGAAACAATAAGGTTCTCTTTTAAAGAGACAATAAATTACTGATGTGGCTGACTTTGTCATCTGAAATGTTTCCCTGTGGCTTGGGAACTTTGGTGATTAGATTAAAAGAAGTTTTCAGAGAGGAAGATAAATACGGTTTCTTATTCTCAATTCCTCCCTTAGAGATAATAAATTCTGGGCTCAAATGCAGATCAAGAAAATAGGTCAAGAGCACACCATATTAGCCTCCCATGTTTATTTTCATAATGTGACTCCATAAGATGCTGAAGGATTAAAACTGGTTTTGACTGTATAGATCCTTTTCTCGAGCTGATGCTGACGAAGTCTCTGGTTGTGGGGAAATGTGAGATCTTATGATGAACCAAGAAATAGTTCCCCGCTTTCCAGAGATCTAAAAGTTAGAAATTATTTATGATGCAATTTAAATAAAACCAAATGCACTGCCATTGAGTTGATTCCAACTCCTAACAATCCCATAGGATGTAGAGTACAACCGCCCGTGTGGGTTTCTGACAGTGTAAGTTATTACAGGAGCAGAAAGCTTCATCTTTCTCTTGTGGAGCAACTAGTGGGGTTGAACTGCTGACCCTGTGGATAGCAGCCCAACTTGTAATTCTCCATGCCACTGGGGCTCCTCAACTACAATGACAGCATCACAAAATTGTAGCCGTAGAAAGACATATTAGAAGTCATTTAGTACAACTCCTTCTTTTAGATGATGAAATAAGTTATTTGATTAGATTTCTTTTTTTTAAACATTTTATTAGGGGCTCATACAACTGTTATCCCAATCCATACACACATCAATTGTGTAAAGCGCATTTGTACATCGTTTCTCAAAACATTTTCTCTCCACTTAAACCCCCGACATTAGGTCCTCATTTTTCTAGATTTCATTACTTAGGAATAGTAGATCTGAGACTAGAACTTATTGCTAATTGGCAAATTTTCTACCTCACTTTTCCAGTGTCTTGGTTTCTTTCTTTGGGACTCCTTAAACTTCCACGTATTTCCAAAATACTTTCATTAGGCAGGAAGGATGCCTATGATCCAGGATGCCTGTGTTTAGGAAGTGTTCACTCTAGGTTCGACTTTTCCCTCCAAGTAAACCTTCTTGATTGAGCGACATAGTCGTCTGTCTCTGCTACCCACAGAATCTCAGGGTTGAACCCATGAGTCGCTCCAAGGGAGAAAGATGAGCCTGTCTACTCGTGTCAAGATTTAAAGTCTTGGAAACCCAAAGGAACAGGGTCGCTGTAAGTCAGAATCGACTTGATGGCAGAGTTTTGATCTTCTGAAGTACCTCCCGTGTTAGGGTCTGGGAGAAAATGAGGCTTTCTGCTCCCGTAAAGAGTTACAGTCTCAAAAAAAAAAAAAAGTTACAGCCAGAAATCCACAGGGACAGTTATACCCTGTCCTAAATGTTGCTGTGCATCAGAATTGACTCGATGGCAGTGAGTTTGACTTGCCCAAATTTACACAGGCGTTAAATGTAAGATAGTGACTGAGTTTAGAGCTTTCTGGTTATAATATTGATGATGTAATAGAGAAGTAGGAAGTGGAACGTTTATGTTTCAGCATGTCTGAAACAGGTCGATTATCAAGTCAATGGCAGAATCCAGGACAAACTCAAAATGTCTTGGCTGTCAGTCAAACGTTCTCCTTTCTCCTATCAGCTCCCTAATCAGAGTCTTTCCTTCATGCTTATCGAACCATACTTAGAATTGGCCTTTGGATTTTCTCCTTACAGGTTTATTGCCAAACCCTGTGCTCTCCATGTTGGCATCCAGGACAGTGGTCCTTATCAGGCCCAATCCAATGCTATCCTTGAAAAAGTGTTCATATCTATTACCAAGGTAAGTGGACCAGGAAACAAGGAAAATTCACATGCGGAATTGCCCTGTAGGGTGGAGGAGGCTAGAGAACAAAGTGTGTGTAAGGCTAAGGCTAGGAAGGGATGTTCTTTCACATTTGGATTGTCCAAGTAGCTATCAGGAGACCTTTCTTTCCTCAGGGAAGGTAAGTCACGGGTTCATACCCTTTTGCATTTTGGGTGCATCAGCAACAGCTACCACCATCTCACCCAGCCTCTATCATTACTTAGATAGATAAAAAGATGGGGTGGTCCTGATAGTCCATGAAGCTTAGCTTTTTAGTATCAATAAACTATCGCTTGAGCCACTGTGCTTATAACTCCTTTGCTTGTTCAAGGAATTTGATGGGAAGGTTGTGGGGAACTGGGGTATTCTGACTCTGGCCATCCATCTGCAGTACCCTGATGAGAGCAGGCTGGAGGGCCTGTCAAAGCAACTGGATTGGGATGTCCGAAAAATCCAATGCTGGTTTCGCCATCGAAGAAATCAGGACAAGCCCCCAACGCTCACTAAATTCTGTGAAAGCATGTAGGTGTGCAGAGGGAGGGGGGATGAGGAGGAGGCTGGGGATATGGCAGGACTGAGGTTCTCCTGTAAAAGTTAATTCTGTTGTTAGCACAGCTGTCGTTGGATGTGGAGGGCTTACTCTATTTTAAGACGAGAACTGGAAGATTGGTCACACTAGTTTCTTGAACATGTTTGACATTGCACTAAATATAATTCCATTTTGTCCCCCTTCCCAAAATCGATTGGGAGTGAATTCACATAATGGCATTTAAGTAGGTAGATATACTCACCCTTGTACATTTTGATAGAGATAATACCAACCTGCTATACATTTTTATGGGTAAAATCCTTTTCAAAGAGAAATACATCATTTCATTGAGTTTTTATTAATTATCCTCTAGAGACAGAGCATCATATCGGTCATTGTTATGCAGAGAAAATGATTGACACAATCATCGGGGCATTTGCTAGAAAGAAAAATTGGACACATGCAGAATTAAAGTCATTGTACACTTCTGACAGTGCACTTTGAACAGAGGCTGGAATAGGTCTCTGTATTTGGCTTTTTAGGTAACAGTATTTGTCCCTATGCTAGGAATTAGTCCTGTTTCTCACCATTAGCTGCCTCACCCCAAATCTGCTATCTTGACTCTCGTTTCCTCAAAAACTTTCTTTCGAGTGCCATCTGTATAACTGCTACTCTTTCTCCCATTTAGGTGGAGATTCACTTTTTATTTATCCATATTCTGCTACGGAATTAGCAGAATTTGGTCGGTGAGTCTGAACTTTTCCCTGCTTCCCTGGTTGAGTTCTAGACATGCCTAGCTCTCTAGGGATTAGAATTGAATACCTTTTGTTGTTATTGTTGAATACCTTCAGATCGGTATCCTTCCCTGCGTTTTTTTTTTCTTGTACAATGGCTTTCACCCAGGTTTTTAATCTTAAGTAGATCAATGCCTCAGAACTCTTTCTCTCTAAAATAATGTTAATAGCAGTACTATTAATAAATGAGCATAACAATAAATCTTTATGAGCAATAACTAAATCATTGTGGCCCCCTTAAGCTAGCTGTTGTGATATAATTATTTGAATTAACGAAAATAAAGTTATTTTCTTCCAAAAAAAAAAAGAGAATAGGCAAACACACACTGTGGTAGGAGATTTTAATGTTCTTTTCTCAGTAATTAAATAACTAAACACTTGCACACATACACACAATCACTACCAATGTTCAAGTGCACGAGGCTGTATGCTTGGGCCATAAAATAAGTCAGTAAATTTCAAAAGATGGGAATCCTCCAGAATGTGTTTTGACCATAATAAAAAAGAATCAGAAACCAAAAATATATCTAGGAGATATTTGAAAGTTAAACAGCACTCTTCTAAGTAAGTCATGAGTCAAAGAAAAAACCAGAAAGGAAATAAAAAAAGTTTTAGTAGAATAATAAAATGGAACACATCAAATTTTTTAGATAAAGAGGAGACCATTAAAGCATGCTAGAAGAGAGTATATAGCTTAAAAATGCTTATAACAAAAAAAGCAGAAAGTTTTAAAATCAGTAATTAAAGTTTCTACATTAGGATCTGGAAAAAGAAGAGCACAGTAAGCAAAAAGAATGAAATAGTAAAAAGGAGAGTATATACTGTAGGTATGAGATGCTCAAGGGAGGAAATTAAACTTTATAAGCCTCTAGCAAAACTGATTGAAAAACCACACAATTATATTAACAAGGGGGAAAGTGTAATTACAGATCTTCTTGGCATTGAAAAGATAGTAAAACAATATTATGAACAATTTAATGTAATAGATTTTAACACTTAGATGACATGGAGAAATCCTTTAAAAGAATAATTAATTAGTAAATTTCTTTACTTTGATTGTGTTAAACCCCCCACCCCCCCAAAAAAAAAAAAAAGACATGGAAATTCCATTAGACTAATACTTTTGACTTTGGAGCCTTAGGTTGGCATGGAAATCTCACTTTGGTTGTCAAGTAGGATCACGTCTTCTCTTATTGGATGTTAGTGATGTTTCCTAAAACTACTAGACCTCTTTTTTCTTATTTATCTTAAAGCATGGCTGTTTCATCTGTACTACCACTTTCATGTTCTAGAAGAAAAATCTAGCCAGTTATGGATCCTTTAATACTTAGCCCTTTTTGCACAGTGGTACTGCATGCCAGGGTTTTCCAGGATTGCTGCAAGCTTTCACAAGCAGGTTGCCAGATACCTCTTGGTAGAGCTGTACTGCCATCCATTTGGCTAGTAGCCAAGTGCTTACTGATCCTTCAGGGAGTCCTAAAATCTAGCAAAGTGGATTCCTTCTTATTCCCATTCTCTTTTGCCCTCAACCTAAACAAAGGGGGATTGTATGTAGGGTAGCTTTAGACCAGGTGAAGATCATGAAGGCTGACCCAAATTCTGTTTTCTCGTAGACACCTTGGTTCTGGGACACCCGACAGTGTTGGCATAGCTATCCATATCAGGTAGGCTCCGAGCCCTTTCAAGCAGGGGGGTGCTGTGGTGTGGGGTGGGGTATGTGTATATAAGGTGAGTTAAGGAAAGTGGATGCCAGTCTCAGGACAGGTGGTGGCACATTGGTGTTCTTGAAGGATTATGGGCTGAATTCCTTTGAGTCATATTTCCAGATTGTCTATTTTGGGGGGATATGGCAGTAAACTCCAGTGATCTTTTAGTCCCAGCATCTTTTTTATTCACTCTAATTGGATTGGGGATGGGGTGGGCACTTAATGAGGTGCTTCCTGGTTTAGTGTCCCTTTCGAATCAAGAGTAACTTGATATCCCTTTAGAGCAGGGTTGGGGAACCTTTTCTAAGGACCATTTGAATATTTATAGCATCATTCATAGGCCATACTGGACAAACATTTAATGAACTTACCCCTAATGGCCCTGGAATGGCTTCTCTTTGGTGAGGCATGAGATCTTAGCTGGTGTTGATGATATCGAGGGCCTTATATGGACAGCCTGAGTTCCCCGTCCTGCCTTAGAGCATCTAAGTTCTGGTGTAAACTAGAAATAATGTCAGGGAACAGCTAAAAGGGTTAAAGGACGAAAGGCTGCCGTGTAGCTGACCCCCTGCGAAGCACTGATTGCCCAGGGTTCTAGACACACTGGTTTTTCTGCTTGTGTCGTGGTATGCGTTCACCTTCTCTCTGAAAGATGGAAGCCTGAGATGTCTATGCGGGTGGACCCAGGGAGGAGGTCTGAGTCCCCACATCAACCCAAAGTCTCTGTCACCCGTGGATTTGGGGAGCTTGGGGGGGGGCGGGGTCATTTGGGGTTAGATCTTTCAAAAAAAGAAGTGCAGAGATAGGTGGGGTAGTCATAGGTTTAACTCCTTTTTTCTTTTTTCCAGCCTCTCACTAGTGGGCTTTATTACTATTATATCATGGAATTGGCCTTCTATTGGTCTCTTATGTTTTCTCAGTTTACAGACATTAAAAGAAAGGTAAGGACCCTGGCTGCCTTAACTCTCTAATAATTGCTTCCTTCTTTCTAGCAACCGACTGAAAGAGGAACAAAATAGGTTAAAAGGAGTCATCAGCTCTTTGTAATGTTCCCAGAAATTAGTCTTAATAAAGTATATTGGGGGCATTCAAGACAACCCAGACTGAAAATGATTAGCCAGCAGTGAAGCATGCCCTTTTCCACAGTCTTCTCCAGTGTTCCTACACTTGTCAAAGGCTAAGAAACTAGTCAGAACTCGGGATTAGCAAGGCCTGGTTCAGAAAAGGGTCTTCTTCCAGGACGGCTATACCTGCCTTTGTTTGCCTGTAGGGACTCACTCTGTTCTCCCTTCTTGTTGGCCCCACTTCTCAAAGAATGCCAGCTTGAAGGAGTTGTAAGTGATTTAATTTATACTCTTCCTGCCATTATTTAGGAAACAGGATTCAAAGAAGTGAATTGCCTTGGACACATAGTGACAGAGTTTAAAGTGACTTCACAGTTTTTCATAACCAGATAGAAAGGGTAGAATCTTTACCTTTTCATTACTATCCACCTGACAAAATATGTGGATGTGGTTCCAGCCACTCTGACCCGGAGTCATTGTTAACTTGTGGTTGTCTTTGGTAAAGAAAGCCCGCATTAGCATTTCTTGAAATGAATCTGGGTCATTAGTTGCTGTTTAACCTAGAGGTTTGATACTTAATTCAGAAACTTTTCGCCTTCTCTGGTCATGAAACACAGGTTCCCCTACTTGGTAAAATGTTATGATAATATGTTTTTAAATCGAATTTAAGTTATAAAACAGAACAATAGAATATATACCTGTGAGCCACTCACCCAATTTAAGAATCAAGCTATATTAACACTATTGTATCTGCCTGTGGGGGGCCCAGACTTTTTCATCCTTCTGTCTCTGACCCAAATTCCCCTGTTCCCTCCCACCCTCTACCCCTCACTGGCCTGAGAAAATTTTATAATTCAGGTTGAGATTGCCCCAGGTCCAAACTGAGCTTTACATCTGAAAGCAGCAGTGCTTCCATGAATACAGATTATTTAGCTACTGTGCATTTCTTCTGAATTTTTTTGGAAAGGCAGTAGCTTTGCCCTTCTACAAATCTCTCCTTTCTGTTATAACACTTTGGCGAAAATGTCTTTCATCAGAGCAGAAAGGCTCTCTAAGGGCTGTCTGTGCTGAAGCCACCTGGAAAACGTCATCCCCAAGCATGAACTCAGCTCCCATGTGCCGCATGGCCTGTGTCTATCAAAGAAAGAGGGCTCCGTAGTCAGAGGCTCTGTGGGGAGTGATGGGCTACATTTTAGGCAGTCGTAAGAGAGAGCAAAAGGGCAGTTTGAAGGAATGGGCTCTGACCAGAGATCGTTCGGAGTTAGGTAGCAGCCCTGGCGCTGTGCCTTTACTTGCCTCTCTGATTTCCATCCCTTCCTAGGACTTCTTGATCATGTTTATGCATCACTTGGCCACTATTGGGCTCATCACCTTCTCCTACATCAACAACATGGTCCGGGTGGGAACTCTGGTCATGTGTCTACATGATTCCTCAGACTTCTTGCTGGAGGTAAGACACAGCCCCTTATTTCTCATACCTCTTTCTCTCCTTCCCAGCGTCCCATGTGAAAACTGGCATTCTCCCCTCCCCCCATCAAATCTCCTATTTCTTTTCCTAGGCAGCCAAGCTGGCCAATTATGCCAAGTATCAGAGGCTCTGTGACACCCTTTTTGTGATCTTCAGTGCTGTGTTTGTGGTTACTCGTCTGGGGATCTATCCATTCTGGTAAGTGCCTGAGCTGTTGCACTGTGATAGGTGTATGGCTAATGAGTTCTTCTGGCAGTTTAGGGAAGAGAATTCCACAAACCCTGTGACCCTGTTTGTCTTGACCCTGACCTGAACCTGAATGAACTCACACAGGAGCGTAGCTGCCCTGCTCAGTAGTTCTAGCAAGGTTGTGATCCAGACTCAGAGTCCCCACTCCATTTGCGTCTGTCATTCCTGATTCATCTTGGAGGAGCAGTTCGCATTTTATGCCAGAGTTGCAGTTTTTGCATTTGGGAGATGGGTTGGGGCGCCTTCCTTTGTACTGATCAAGGAGAAAGATGAAGCTTTTACAAGTTGAGAAACTCAAAGGGGCAGTCCTAATCTGCCCTATATATAGGATTATTGGGAGCCAGAACCAACTCAGTGTCAGTGAGTTCTCATTTGTTTCTGTACTGAATTTTGTACACAGAATTCTCAGATTCTTCTTTACCTGTATCCCTATTCTACACCCTCTTCAATATCCTGGCCAACTCTAACTCTCTCTCTCTCTGTCCCCCTCCCTCCCCCTCTTCCCCTCCTACCCTCCCTCCCTCATAGGATTATGATCCTGCTACTGTCCCAATTTTGTGAATTCTGGGTATTTAAAGTAATTGATGAGACTTACTACATCAGTTCTGAATATTCAAATGTCTCCCCTAGTCCTTAAAGATAAAGAGCCCCGGTTGCATAGTGATTACAGGCTGAGGAGAAAGGTGAACCTTTCTGCTCTCTTAAAGACGTACAGCCTCAGAGAAGAGCTCTGCCCTAGAGGGTCGCAGAATCCACTCAATGTCACTCACCAGTGGTCCCTCAAGATAGAAAGTGCCATAGCCTTCCTTCCTTGATTCCTTTTCACGACGGATGATCGTCCTTAGAACTTCAGCTGATGCAAGATACGGCGGGAAATACACACAGGCCTATTTCCCAGGAATCCGGGGCCATCCCAGCCTACCTGGATTTGACTCTAGAATCTGACCTTTGACTTCCCTCTTCCAGGATTCTGAACACGACCCTCTTTGAGAGTTGGGAAATTATCGGGCCTTATCCCTCCTGGTGGCTCTTCAATGGCCTTCTCCTGACCCTACAGGTTCTGCATGTCATCTGGTCCTACCTAATTGTGAGAATTGCTTTCAAGGCCTTGATCCGAGGAAAGGTAAAGATGAACAATGTTTCTGTCTTTGGGCTTTGTGTGGGAAGCCAGTAGACCATCTCTCTCCATCTCACGTGGGGAGCTTGAGTTAAGAATCAGACTAAACGAAAAACTTAAGGCTACAGATTTTTCTCCAGATTTATCTAAGACATGACTTAGATATCAAAGCAATGGTACCCTGCCCCTTAGGGAATGGCTGCAGATTTAAGAGCAAATATGGTCAAGCATTTGGGAGACAGCCTCAGCTGTTTTGCAACCCTTACCTACCTAGATGTTTTCACTTGTTAGCATGGGAACTTTGTTTCAAAGGAAATCATTTGCATAACTGCAAGGTATTAACTGTGACAGCAGAGCTGTTAGGTTGATTTAGCAGGTATGGTAGTTCACAAGCCACCCAAGGTGACCACACTGTCATGTTTCAGCTAAGCACCTGCCTCACCCCATTGTTGTGAGGCAAGTGTCTAAGCAAGGTAGCTAGCTTTTCAAATACCAATTTTGTATCAAAAGACCTCCCCCTTCCCTCAAGAAAAAAGATGCTGTATGATGAAACTAACAGTTGGATTCTGCAAGTTCAGAAGCAGTTTAACCCAAGTTCAGAAGCAGATTGACCCAAGAACTTGGGGGCTTTGGCCTCCAGTGATACAGAATACCAGGGCAAAGAAGGTCTACTAGAAGGGGGCACTGGTTCTAGGACAAAAGGATGGAGTGTTGCCCAGAAAGACATGATCTCTTGTGTCGTCGTTCCTTCTGGCTGCGATGGGTTTCAGAACTTGCCTGGGCATCTTGCTGTAGCTACCGGACATCTCTCGTCTCTCCTGCTTTTCTTTCCTGACCAGGTGACCTCCCCCGGAAGGATTAGACCCAGGCTCTGTACCCTCCACTCTTTTCTCACCTCTTCCCTTTTCTCTATGCCTGGCGGGAGCTGGACAGGCTCATCTCTTGCATGTAAGTGCATCTGTGCTTCTAGTATTCAGGGAAGCATGTTATCTGAATGTGGTCCTCTTCCTTTCTGCTCTCCTTCCTGCCTCCTGTTTGTCTCAGAGTAGGCCCTCTCACCTGACCTTGTTGACTGCCAGATTCTCTTCCTCAGTTTGAGACAAGTTGAGACTTTTGTTTTTTCAAGCCTCCCTTTCTTTAGTGTAAATCTTAGGAGCCTTGGTAGCACTGTCTGGTAAGCATTGGGCCGCAAACCGCAAGATCAGTGACTCAAACCCAACAGCTGCTCTGTGGGAGAAAGATGAGGCTGTCTGCTCCCATAAAGACTTACAAGCCTCGAAAGCTCTGTATCAGCGGTTCACAACCTGTGGGTCGCGACCCCTTTGGGAGTCAAACGACCCTTTCACAAGGGTCGCCTGATTCATAACAGTAGAAAAATTACAGTCATGAGGTATCAACGAAAATAATTTTATGGTTGGGGGTCACCACAACATGAGGAACTGTATTAAAGGGTCAGGCATTAGGAAGGTTGAGAACCGCTGCTCTACATAGAATTGGACTCAAGTCAATGGCAGTGAGTTAGTTACCTTCAATCTACAGATACTGCCCCCTGGTGGAAATGTGCTAAAGATCAAGTAACCAATAACTCATCTCCGTTCAGAGGCTTCGGATCTCAGAGCTAATCCAAAACTAATGGTCCCCTCCTTGGCAACAGTACTTGCAGCTTTGCTCTCTTTTCAGCATAACACCCCTCCTTCTGCAGACTGTGGTAGAGAATTTAGACTAGTTTTCCATAAAATACAAGATAGTTTGGATTGGGGAATCACTCTTCTAAGACAAACTCTTTATTTGAAAAGACGAAATAAAAAGCTGAGGTGAAAATTCACCAATGGAAGCATGATCGGGCCCAGGATTTCTCCTTACCATACCATGTACAGTAGTATCTCAGGGATGCTGAAGCGGTACAAGAGAAGTGAGCACCCTGCTGTTGGGAAAGGGAAGAAGGTTGTTGAGGGCAGTAGCAGTGGCTGAGCAGAGAATAGTCAACTACTGAAAGAGACCCCAAATTGAATCCGCCTGGGTGTAAAGCAAAGTTCAGGATAACCACTAAGACTAACTGCAGGGGCAACAACACAGGCATCCTCTGTGTCGGCCTTTTTTCTGCATTGAGGAGGATGAAGAGAAGGGGTGAGGAGTTCCCTTCAGGGCTAGACTGAAGACTGTGCGTGATCTCTTAGGCTGGTCCTGAAAAAGACACCCCGCCTCCAAAGCAGCTCCACGTCCAAAGAAAGGACAGCCCGAGGTAACAAGAGGCCATCAGAACCCAGCCAGAGGGAGTCCAGAACAGCAGCCACAGTGCAGACGGCACCAGGAAGTAGACCAGAGCACAGGCAGAACGCAAACATAGCCTGTGCGGGCTCAGACTTTCTTAGAGTAGGGAGCTCCAGAAAAACACGGTCCTTAGCTTTTCTGCCTTTGGTCCCAACCCACCCAGGTGTCTAAGGATGACCGCAGCGATGTGGAGAGCAGCTCAGAGGAAGACGACGTGACCACCAGCACAAAACGCCCCTGTGGCAGCAGCTCCCACAATGGTGCCAATCGGGTGAATGGTCACATGGGCGGCAGCTACTGGGCTGAAGAGTGAGACGGTTGGTATGGGGACTTCGGCACACATGGACTTGCAGGGCCACTGGCCGCCTACTCTTCTCAGGCCTCCCCTCACCTTGACCAGGGGAACTCCAAACACTGAGGAGAATCAAGCAAATCTTTTCACTTAAAACAAAAACAACTCTGCCATTTTGTATTTAATAGCCTCCGGTCCTTTTAGTAATGGTGTGTGTGTGTGTGTGTGTGTGTGTGTGTGTGTGTGTGTGTGTGAAGTTCATCGCCTGGCTAGGGGCAGATTTCTGGACTGGTCCACCAGGGCTTTGAGTGGTCCCCATTGCCCTAACCTCAGCCCCAGATTCTGTCTGCCTCCTGAACAGTGCTGGCTTGGGACTAGCCCCTCCCTATTGCCTATGGACCGTCTGAATGAAGCAGCCAAGTCCAGCTTCAGGTTTCTGCACTGTTTCTCCCTCGGAACTGGAGCCTGTCACATGACGAAGTTGTATAGAAACAGAGAATCATGGATGGATGGATGGCCAGGACTGCTGTGGCCCCTAGCTGGACCCCCTGCCTACCATGTGGTAGTGACAGGGACAGCTGCTGAGACCCTGCTGCTTTACTCAATGGTACACAGGGAGGGGCTGGGAGAAGTGCGGGCGAGGGGAAGACAACAGCCACTGGGTGAGCTGTGAACGGTTTTATACTGTTGTTTACTCTTCTGTGATTAAAAGTGCTTCACCCTTCCTGTAGTGTCTCAAACTGACTCTTTCCCCAATCCCCTAAGTACGTATCTGAGTAAGAGTCTTTTCAAAGGTCTGGTTCTAGAAGCACTGCCGATACACATTTTTCTTCTGGAATGCATGCTGACAAAAGTCAGCCAGAAAGTCTACATTAAAGGGTTTTTGTTTGTAAAGAAAAGGTACACATATATAGTCACTTTTTTCTTTAAGCCCTAAGATGTAGGCTCTCACAAGGAAAACCACTGAGCAAGTGTAAATATGGCTATCATGTCTATCAAAAGACTGCTTGAAGAGTATGTAGTTTGACGGATGTTTTTCTTGTTTGACCAAGTCCTGATACTGCCCTTAAACATTTTAGGTTGAGTTTCATGACTGAGCAGATACCTCTCTGTCAGTTCTGTTTTCTCTTAGACCATAGAAAAGCAATCTACCTAATCCAGGTTTCTCTGTAATTGAGGTCTGGGCAAAATTACCAGTAGTGTGATTCATCTCCCAGAACAATTTTCCATGATGATTATATTAATCATATTCATACATGCTTGTGTACATCAAAAAGACATGGATTACATCAAGACTTATCAGAGGGGGCATAGAAAACAAAAGAAATGTTATTTTAAAAAAAGAGATATACACTAGACCATCGGTTCTCAACCTGTGGGTCGCAACCCCTTTAGGGGGTCGCCCGATTCATAACAGTAGCAAAATGACAGTTATGAAGTAGCAACAAAAATAATTTTATGGTTGGGGGTCACCACAACACAAACTGTTATTAAAGGGTCACGGCTTTGGAAGGTTGAGAAGCACTGCACTAGACTAGTTCTTGATACTATTGGGTTATTGACCATACTAAAATTACCTTACTGATTTTCTAGATTTTAATTTGACTAATTGCAAGGCTTGGGAAAATTAAGTTCCAAAACATCTTTCACAGTCATTTTGTCAGGAAGATTAGTTAGACTGGGATTTTACCTTAAGTTCCTCATCTTGCCACATTCTTGAGCTGGCTAGTCGTTGTGAAATGAGACGGAAATGCTGTTGAAAGCATACAAACCCCACTGCCGGCCAGATGGTCCCCCTCCCAGCAGCTCCACAGGCTAGAGTAGAAGTGCCCCGTGGAGTTTCTGCAAGCAGGCTGCCACATCTTTCACCCGCAGAGACATGGTGGGTTCATCAAGTGATATAATAATAAAAATAATAACTGACACTTACATAGCAGACACTGTATTAAGCACATTACATATGGTTAAATTGAGGCAAAGAAAGGTTAACTAATTCATGGTCAAACAGCTAGTAAATATTCCAACCCAAGGTCTAAATCACTTTCACACCTCTTTTTTTAACTCTTCTTGTTATTTATTTGTTTGTTTGTTTGTTTGTTTATTTCATTGGCTACAGTCCCCAAGATGTAACATTACTTATCCCATGCACCCCCTGTACTTACTAGTTTTCTTCCTTCTTTACTAATGCTTCTGAGCTGTTTCCTTGGGCAAATACTGCCCTTTCAGTCTCAAATAGTTGTTGTTTTTTTATCGTTTTATTAGGGGCTCATACAACTCTTATCACAATCCATACATACATCAATGTGTAAAGCACATTGTACATTCATTGCCCTCATCATTCTCAAAACATTTGCTCTCCTTTTCAACTCTTCTTGTAATCCAATAGTTCTCATTTACAATAGTGAAGAAAAATCGTATCTATTTTCTAAATGAACAACATACTTCTGGCAGTTAAGAATGCTAAAGTATGAGGGAAGAGTACTAATGCTGGCTTTGATGGGTACAGTTGTGTCAGCTTGGCTAGGCCATGATTCTCGGTGGTTTTGGAGGTACATACATGCTATCTTCCATTTTCACATAACATCTATTTCCCGTAACAATCTGGTCTCTGGAACGTAGCCCTGCTGACCAGTGAGGAGAGGCTGTGCCTCAGATTGACGCAGGGTCAGCACAGAAGGAACAGTTAGTCGGCGGCATGTGTCATCGATGGCAGTTGGCCTTGGGTGTGTGACCTGAGATAAGGGTCAATTACAGGAACAGGTTATTTTCTGAGAAGGGGTGGGATGAGAAATCTGGCACTGGGGAGTTTGATTACAAAGTCGGAAGATGGTCAGGCCCAATCACATCAGTGGCGTGCTGGTCAGATGCAGATTCATTTTCCTTCCAGAGAACGAGGAGTGTCTGTCAGAATAGCCAAGAATTGCCTGTCTCGTGTTGAATGTAGAAGGATTCTAACTTTATTCTTTAGCAAAATTAACTTATTTTTTGTACAGTGGTTAAGTACCATCAAATTGCTTCTGGCTCATAGTGACCCTGTATGCTACAGAACAAAAACACTGCCCAGTCTTATGCCAACTTCACGGCCGTTGCTCTGCCTGAGACCAGTGTGGCAGCCACTGTGGTCGTCCATCTCTTTGAGAGTCTCTGGGGCTTAGAAGACACTCACCACCATCAGCAGCCTCAGCGCTCGTGTCAAAGCCAGGGCCGTCATCTGCGTTCCGCAACGGCTTGTTTTAATGCTCTCTCGTGATATCCAAAGCACACCAAAACAGAGCGGCTTAAGAATCACGTACTCATCATCGTTTGAGGGGTTGGCATGGAGTGTCCTGTATGGTTCTAGTCCCATGGCAGCTGTGAGGAGAGTCCTTTGAGAGTTCAACGTGGCTAATGTCTAAGATGGCGTACTAGCCTGCCTGGCAGTTGATGATAGCTCTTGCCTGGGACCCCAGGCCAGGCTGTCCCCCAAAGTATGCCTGCACGTGGTCTCTCCATGTGCCTCAAACTTTAGGCAGCATGGTGGCTGGATCCCAGGAGGCGGGAAGTGGAAACAGCCCATTTAAAGGTGTCACCCAAAACTAGCACCCAGCATGCCACTGTATTTGGTGGCTCCAAGTGGTTACAGGACCACCCAGGTGGAAGGGGTTGGCAAGATAGGCAATGTTTGAAAGGGATTGGCAAGGTCACTGAAGAAGAACATGTGGCATAAGTGTTGTAGTCATCTTGGGGGGGGGCGGGGCGGGGAACAGTTTGTCACAATGAGGAAACTGAGTCTCAAGCTATTTAATAAGCAGGTGACCCATCGTATTTCGACGTGCTTTCACATTGTAGTCTGAAAAGAATCTCACAAGTGTAGTTAGTGTTGGTGCTTTGATTTTAAACCAGTTTCTTACTATTTTCCAGGATTCGTGCAGGGATGGCGCTCAAGTAGCGTAGCTGCTAATCACAAGGTCAGTGGCAGCTCTAGGGACAAAAGATGAGGCTTTCTACTCCTGTAAGCTTTTACAGCCTTGGCAACCAGCAGAGGCAGTGCTACTCGGGCCTATCGGGTCGCTGTGGAGACTTGACCTGATAGCCATAGGGTTATTCATGTAGGAAGGGGTTTTCAGTTTCATAAGCATTTTTAACATAACTCCTTTATGAAGAGCATGGTAGTGGGAGTTGGGAGTGGAAAAATGAACAAGATAGGTCCATTATTCTCAAAGAATTCAAACTCCAGAAAGGCTGGTGAGTGGGCAGGGACAGGAAGGGTAGAGGCAGATAACACAGACCAATAAAACACATGGGAGATGGGTAGGGCGGGGAAAGGAAGTGGTGATAAACCCAGGGACAAGGGAACAACAATTGATCCAAAATCATTGAGGAGGGTATAAGAGGCCTGGTAAGGCTTGGTCAAGGGCAATGTAACTGAGAGGAATTACTAAAA